GGCTACCGGGGCAAAGGTCTCCAAGTAATCTATACCATAAGTCTGGGTGAACCCTTTTGCAACTAACCGAGCTTTATACCTCTCAATGGATCCATTTGCATTGTGTTTCACGGTAAATACCCATCTGCAGCCAACTGGTTTCTTTCCTTTGGGCAGATCAACTAGCTCCCAGGTGTTATTTTTCAACAGGGGATCCATCTCAACATGCATTACATCTTTCCATTCTGGGACGGATAGGGCTTCTTGCACTATTCTTGGAATAGGGACATTGGCAATGGAACTAAGGTAGGACCTGTAGGTAGGAGATAGGCGATCATAGGATAAAAACTGGGAAATACAATGGGTTGTAGATGTGGTACAATGTCGTTTCCCTTTACAGATGGCAATCGGAAGGTCAAGGTCATCTGCAGGAGGTGAAATGGCAACAATAGAGGAAGTCTCTGTGGGCCCTGGGATTGTAATACTTGGACTTGGAGCTGCAGATGAGATTGGAGCTGGCCTGGACTGCTAATGACCAGGATCAACCTGCCTGCATCGCCTGTGATAGACCCTCAACTCCTGATCCCTCTGACCACCCTCACCATTGCAGCTCTCATCGCCCAATGGAATAGGTAAAGAAACTGCCCCMCTCTCACTACTCTCCCCCTGAAGAAAAGGACTCAAACCCCCACTCTCACTGCTCTCCCCCTGAGGAGAAACCYGAGGATAATAGGGTGTCTCCTCAAAGAAAGTGACATCCATGGAGACAAACTTCCTCCCTGAGATAGGATCATAGCAGCAATAACCCTTTTGAGTTTGTGCATAACCAAGGAAAATGCATTTGGAGGCCTTGGGTTCGAACTTGGAGTGATGGGGTCCGAGAAGCTGAACAAAGCAGGTACAACCGAATGTTTTAAGGGGAATAGAAAACAACTCCTCACTTGGGTATAGAAGGGAAAAAGGAGATCTCATATCAAAGACTCGGGAAAGAACCCGATTAATAAGATATACTGCCGTGAGGATAGCATCACCCCCAGAAGCGAATAGGGACATTGGAGGTAAACATAAGACTTCTAGCCACCTCCAAGATGTGCCTATTCTTCCTTTCTGCAACTCCATTCTGCTGAGGTGTATGAGGGCAAGAGCTCTGGTGTATAACCCCATGATTAAGAAGGTAAGATGCCAATGGTTCAGCAAAGTATTCCTTTGTGTTATCGGATCGAAGAACTTTGATCTTGGCATTAAATTGGGTTAGGATCATTTGGTGAAAGTTTTGGGTCAGGGCAGGAACCTCATCTYGTGAACGCATGAGATAAACCCAAGAAAAACGGGTATGGTCATCAACAAATAACAAGAAATATTTGTACCCACCCATGGAAGGGAGTTCAAGGCTGATAGCAGTCTTGAACATCTACTTTTTATACACAAACTTGGAATAGGGAAATGCATGGGGTGATTTAATTTGAACGGGTTCTGACTACTTAATATTTTGGGCACAAAAGGATGAAAATGTTTCTTCAAGGAAAGAAACCCAAGATTTCTGAACATTATGCTTTTTTTCTCTTTTTGTAGGATGAATTATAATAGACAATAATGAGAAAGGACTGAATTTGAGAGGGATATGAATTGATCATGCACAAAAATACAAAGTTTCCCCAAGGGAAAAAGGTTTGAGAAAAGTTGAAACCAAGGAAATTGAAAATTCAAATCCAACCAGTAGGACTGGTGCTCTTAGATGGGTGGCACTTTTTTTTTTCTTTGTCCTCAGTCAGATGTCAAGATTCAAATGGTATTTCTTTATTCTATCTGTAATTTGTGTACTGTGCTTGAAGGTTTTCTATATTGTACCAAAATTATCTTTAGCTTGCTTGGGCAAGTTGTGCATATGTTTGGATGTTGCCTGGAGGATTATGTACCTGTTTTTCATTTCCTCTGCTTTGTCTAGATATACGAGCAGATACCATTTGAGATCTCCTTATTGTGTTTGACAATTATTATTTTGTATACTCATGGGCAGAAAAGTTGACACAGGTCTTAGAAGCTGAACGAGATTCTCCTAGAGAATTTCAGCCATTACCATTCCATTATGTGGAAATTTCAAGGCTTCTGTTTGACCAGTATGTACACATGTTTCTCTCTTTACCTTTTTGACACTAATTACTTGGAGGATCTTTCTGATTTATTTTTCTGACAACAGTGCGCGTGATGACATCCCAGACGTATACATGGTATGCTTAGAGATTGTTTTGAGGACTTTTTGCTTCTATATTCATCATTTTAGAATTTTTTTTCAAAGGTCATATTTGATGTATACCTTTTTACAGGTGAGATCTCTAATTGAGGACATCAGGTATGTACGGTTTAGTAAGGTTGAGTCCGGGCTGGAGACAATTTCTGGTCGTACACATGCTGTCAAAGTATGCTTGTCTTTCCCTTCAAAATACATGCTCATTGATGACTGAACTCTAACTTAATGGCACTTAGCCACATAAATTCTTTGAAAAATGAAGGGTTGTATCACACATGATATAAAAGCAAGGTTTCTATAGTCTTGTGAAAAAAGAAAATTAAATTAGATGTTACTGTTATCTTCTTGATACAAGGAAAACTGGATTCATTTTCTGAGAAGCAATTCCCAACTTTCTGACTTGTGTTTAAATGTGGGGAACTTGCTGATAGACATGGAGATATCGCTCAAGTAGCACAGGGAAGGATCTTTTAGGTCACTGTCAGTAAATTTTGGCATTATTTAACATGTCCAAATGATTTTGTTTTCTTTGATGTACAAAATGGTAAAATATGTTAACTAGTATAAATGAGATTATCTTGGATGGTTGACAACTAGAATTAATTGATCTAAGATGTCTCATACCTTGGTATCATCATGATGATAGTGTTCTCTGTGTTGCACATGTGCTTCTTTTATAATGTAGGGGTTTGTATTGTACATATGTTTTTACTAATGCATCAAATCTAATATCATGTATTTTTCCTAGAAGTATATAGTATGCATGATTTTCTCCTACCTGGACCTCAACTTTAACACTTAAGAGGTTCTAGTTGAAGCCATGAAAAAGTGTGCACTATACACAAACTGCTTTTTGTTATCCGACTACATATTCCAAAAGACTAATTTATATATTTTTCTTCATATATTTGTTCCTTTACACCCGTTATTTCCATAAATTGCAGCTTAAAAATCTATCTGCAATGGAAGTCAATATAGTTCGGCCATTTGTTGTGAGAACCCTGCAGGCTTTCTATAAGCATGATAGTCCACAGATGATACAACATCCAGACACAGCAGCAAACAGACCGCCACAAGTAGCTGATCGGGGTCCAAGAGTAAGTTTTAAACTTCATCAGTGTATCTCCAACCATCACTTCACATATCCAGTAAATTTTAAATTTAACAAAATATAGAATTGAAATTGTAAGGGACTTTAATGGTTTGCTGGTATTAGATGTATCACTAGTTGGGGGGATTTTAGATAATCTCATCGGAAAAGTTCATCTTGTCTATATGAGTTTCTAGAATAAAAATGAGAATATTTTGGTCTAGAATCTTAGTTGAGTCACTAGGTTTTGCTGAGATGTGGCATGTACATGTAGGAAATGAGTAGAAGAAAAAAAGAAAATAAGAACATAACATGTTCTGACAAAAAAAAATCTGCAGGCTCTATCAGGCCCGAGGAATTACCTGCATTTATTCTAGTATTTATGCCTCCAACCTAGAGTATCATTTAACTTAAAAGTGCATTTCTTGATTATATATAAGGTATTATATTTTCAGAGTTTTGGGAAGACATGACAACCTTCATATATACATGTATCAGATTTATTACAAAATTTATGATATATTTATTGTTTCCAACTCTAATTTGTATGCCATGTATTTAATCTTTTATGAGCATCATCTCATCTCAGTTACTATCTCTTAACCAATAACATGAACCAGAACACTTTAGAAGATATCCCATTATATTTAATTAAATTATGCAGAAATTCAGATTTTGGCTTTCTATGGTTGTTGCTGTGTTTGATACCTAATTTTACGTAAAGTTTATTATTCTTGTTCTGGTTGTTTCTTTTGCCGAATTGCCATAATAACAGTTCATTTGTTTCTAGGAACTTCATATCTTAGCTCCTATTTTAGATAATGGAGTTGAAAATGAAAACTCTGCTATACTGATAAAAAAGAACTCTACCATAGTTTCTATCTTTTGATCATTTTCTGTTTTCCAGCGGGATCTGCGGCGACGTTAGGTGAAAATATTATTTTCTGCATTCAAGGAGAATATGGTTGATTTTCTATCTTAACCACCTTCCTATCTACATGGATGATAGTAATTTTATCATGCAAATGAGGTAAATGTGGTTCTTCTGTTTTGTTTCATACATTTCTAGCTGAAGGTTAGGCCTTGCCGACTGTTTGTACAAAGAATTGATTCTTTCCTTTTTCACTGAAAAAGGTAGGGAAATTATTTATTCTGAAATGATTTTTGCCAAGGCAAGCAATGTCAACGTACTTTTTCTGATGGTTCTCTTTCAATTGATTTACATCCTATCCCTTTTCATCAGCTGCACTTACTAGTTGTTGGGATCATGAAAAGCAGCTATTTTACATTTTACTTGCAGAAGCAAAAAAAGTTGAAAGATGTATTTGGTTTCATAGTTATAGAAGTTCCCTTTTCTAGTAAAGTCAAAAGCAAAATTCTTGCTTTTCTTTAGAAGCATTTGTTTTACTTCTATTAGATCATTCTGGTGCTTCTGGTGAAAAAGAACTCCGTGACTGACTATTAATAACCAGAGAAGGATGCTCGTATACTTTTAGAATCAAAAGAAGAAAATATACATTTTGTTTCAAAGAAAATGCTTTTGCAGTACCCATAACAGAAAGAAAATGCTTTTGGAAGTTGGAACAGCTCTATCTTCTATGATGCTTGCACATTGTTTTGCTAAAAGACCTTTTCATTTTCCCCCTTGGTTGCTAACAGCTTGGTAGTCTAATTTATTGGACTATGATAATGCTGATTTGATGGTTAAATGACATGAATTTTGCAATCAGGTGATTTCTTTACTTAATTAGGGTAATCACCTTTCTCTCCCATCTCTCCCATTGTGCAAAAAAATGTTTTGGCCTTGTTTAATATGGACATCACAATCCTTATGGTGCTTAGAACTTCATTTTGCCCCTTGTAAAATCGTCTTTGGTCATCTTGCAGTCTATCTCTACAACATTAGGGGAAAACATTTTGTAGGATTTCTTTATGAGATATATAACCTCTTGACCATCCATTTTTCTGTGGGCGCAATGTGATTATTCCACATTGAGCCAATTGCAATATGGAATTGATTTTATAAGAAAAAACATTAATTACAGAAACAATGATTCAGTTTTCTTTTCCTTCAAAAGCTGATGTATTTGTTTGATTTCTACAACAAAGGGATCTATTTATGTGCTGGTTAAATGCATCCAAATCCAATCAAGCTGGTTTTTTCCCCGCCCCATTGGGGGCCAGATGCTGCATACGCATGCCAAAAAAGTTTTTCTTTTTTCCTTTTTGGTGTATCATGTATGGATCATCACACATTATATTGGTTTCATGACCAGTGTGTGTGTGATGGCCAAGACTTCTGTAAACCTAGTGAAGCATAACTTATATTTCTATGGCAAAAACTGCACTTATGTTTGGAATCAAACTCTGGATGAATTTCATCCCTCAATTTCAAATCAAAACTAATGTAAATGACAATATAGCCGAGGTGGTAAAGGTGCAAGCACGTTAAAACATCACATAATTTATGTTTTATTGATTCATGTTTCACGTTAAAAACACCTCAAGTGTCAATTGTAATATCATTTTAACACTGGTTCATTTGTTTTGATTTACAGTACAGTTTATGTACTATAGATTTTCCCTTAGGCTGCATTTGATTGCAGTCCAATTTTATTTGCACTAATACAGATGCATGGGAGTGCAAATGAAAAGAATGTAAATTCCGATTTAATTTTGTTCAGTTTTAATTTATTCTGCTTCAGGTCTTATTTTATATCATTTGTACTATAATGAAACAAAATAAGTAAAATTTGAAACAAAAATAAATCAGAATTTACACTAAATTTGCACCATCATAATTTTGCATTAGCACAAATAAACGTGCTGTAACCAAACACAGCTTTAGGCTCAGCATGGAAGGATTACAAATACAACCATTTAGAGTGCACTGTATTTGCACTGTACATATTTGCATTTGTAGTCTTTTCAAGAATGCCAAAGGTAAAAACCGCATCCAATATATCCTCCCCAAGAACCCAGATGACTGGGACCAAGATTTGGTATTGATCTCTCAACAGTAACCATTTTTTGGTGATGTTTAACATCAATGATGATTTGCCAGAAATCTGTGCCACACAGGATCTATATCAAAATTTGAAGAACCGATGATTTTTTTCTTGTTTGGTCGACTGATTATGCTAATTTCTGAAAAATAAACCAAAAATTGATTATTAAAATAAACTCTTTTTAGGGATTACCTTTTCTGGTGATTTCTTGATTTTTAACTGATTTTGATCTTTTGAGGATGAGTGGCATGACATCCAACATGGCATTGGTCTTTAAAATCAAATACCAAACAAACTCAAAGCCCATTTCTCAAAAAAAAACTTACATAGCATAAACCATAAATGATACCAAACAACAATTTTTGATGATTTTTCAAGTCACTGATTCCGGTGAGATTTCTGGATAATTAATAAAGATAAATCATCATCAATGCCAAACATCACCTTCGTGAAATGAATAATCAATACTCGCGAAACAACTACTTAATGATATGACGCTATCAGTGGTAATGAAATATAATCAGATGCATGTATAGGAGAAACAGAGCTGACGACATAATAGAATACACAAAAGAGCAAGCAAGTGTGGCAATGTAGGTCTTTAGATTTTATAAACACAACTATCACGCCTGAAAATATTTACAAACACTAAGATCCTAGTTCAAGGCCACCATGTCTCTGGTGGGCTAGTGTTTGATGAGACGGCCTGTTTTTTCAAGTTCGCATGGTAATGGTAATATATGACAGCAGGGAAGAGAATAGGACAAGTCAAGGAGGGGCATGGAAGAGCCAGATCAACTTATGCCGCTTCTGCAAATCCAACCCTCATATTGCCGTAGTCGAATACGGTGTGGTAACGGCCCATAAAGACATCTCCCAGGATCCTGCATATTATAATCTCCATGGGTTAGATCTTCAAGAATAATTACCAGTTATTACATATCCCTAGTGCTAGTGACGATTTCGAGTATATAATACAACGGCACCATCATCAATATCATGGTCAGCACATATGCAACGCCAAGGAAGAAGATCAAAGACCAGCAGTGAGAAACCCTACCAAAGAGGTCCACGAGGAGGAGGAACATCCAAAGCTGTAAATCCACTGATGCACTGAGTTACAGGTCCCTCACCCACTTTGAGGATGTACTGATCACATCAAAATAAACGAGTAAATAAACACGGATGATAGTAGGTCATAACGCAAGAACAAAGCCATATAATAAACATCCATAAAGGGGAAAAGGGGATGGCCAACATGACACTAAATACTTTCCACTTGAAACCATACATGAATAAGCATGAATAAATTGTACCAACATCACAAGTCCATATGCTCGTATGAAAACAGACAACTTTTCTCGTTTCTTAACTACATGGACAGCAATCATTTCATTCTAGTTTTTGAGCACATAAAGTTGGATTTGGATCCAATCCAAATTGTAAACAAGAAAGATGGTCATTGTTGAAGTTCTAAATCTCTGTAATAAATATGCATCAATGATGAAGTTCTGCATTCACATATTGGTATTAAGAACTCAAATGAGATGATCCCAATTCCACATGATTCTCAAACAAAACCAGTTTGAGAACATACCTCCTCGGGAGTGAGGTCAAACACTTTACCACCAATAGTAATAGAAACAACAGGCATGGAAGATAGTTTATCACAATCAACAGCAGATTCTCCCATTGGACTAGGCAAACGATCACAGAGCTGCAATCTCAGCAAATTGTGTGAGAAACACTTCAAATCAAAACTCATTAAGAAATACAAACCATAAGGTCAAACACTTCACCTCATTGGCATAGCTCAATATACGATCCTGTGTTTGGTTTTGTCTAAGCTGATTTTGCATCCACACAACAGCCATCTCACAAGCAGAGCACATGGCATCATGCAGGAAACCAGAAGATTTGCCATTCTTCTCATCTACCACACTCTCAATGCCAGTACTGAAAAGACGATCATAAAATCCAATTTACCGATTTCTGCTTCAAACAGAATTATGGAATACTGATGAACAAAAACAATAATAAAAATGAAAAGAAATGGCTTCCCTGACCTAACACCTCGAGTCCCATCAAAAGTACATAAACCAATCTGGGAACATACTTTCATTGGTTGTGTCTGTCAAATACAGCCAATGGAACAGAAATCAGACCATTGTTTAAGACAACATCCTTTTATTTATATGTAGAATATGCACTTTTAGTATGGTATAAAATAAAGGGAAACAGCGAAAGACGGGCATTTTTTTTTCTTTCTTGGCAAGGGTGGGGGTGTTGGACACAATGGCATATTGCATACCTCAGCTAATAGCAGCTCTAATATCGTTTCCCCATATTGTGCAACAACTGCCTTGCATTCCTGGCTAACAACCCCAGTAGCTCCAATGCCGTGGTTGATTTGAGTAATAATTGTCTGCAAATGAAAAATTTAGAAAAGGGTTCATTGGATATAATGGAATGTCACCTATGATACTTAGATTTTATTTATTCAGCAATATATTTATCTTTCCATATTACGAAAATTGATTTTAGAGGGAAGCCACATCAATAAATGGTTATGTGATAATTCTGGATTTGTTAGGCTTAATTCCAATAATATTTATCTTTTAATAATTACTTTGATTCTCAATAACAGTGAGACAGATTATAAGAAATGCTAACAAAAATTTTTTTCTCAATCCAATGGAACGAAGACATGGTTCTTTTTCTCCTTGTTTTATTCTCTGTTCTCCTTTGTCTTTCTTTTTGTGTATGTGTTCTACATGTCTATGTGTAATTGTGTATCCTTCTACCCTATATCACTGGTCTTCAAAACTCAGAATCGTTGAACAGAATAAAAAACATACCGTTGGACCCGCCAACAAAGAGGTTCCAGAATCAGCAATAGCTGAACAACCACCAGCACAGAATCCTGAAACCAACATCATTATATCAGAAACAGCAGTAAAGGATATTCTCTGTCTATAAAAGGGACAAAAATATGATGTGAAGTTCTCTTTTACATACCAGTTGTTTTACCACCAATCAGGACATCACCCATATCGAACTGAGAATAAGATGATACAGAAGATTAGAAAAATGCCCAGAAAGAAAGGCAATAATTTTATTAGCTCCTCATAACAACACAATTCATCTTTTATTGAGTAAGAATGCAACAGAGTAATGCTGCCTACCTGCCAATAGCCTTTCTGGGTCACTGGAACAAACGTATGTGTGCCCTTGAAATGATTTGGATCAACTCCACCAAACACAAGTTCTCCCCCTTCTTCTTCTTGTGCATTTCGGTTGAACCAAAATGAGAAAATAGGTTCTTTAACAAGACCTTGATTAACCATGTTGTACCTAAAGAAATTGCAGTTAAATCAGCAGATGTTATAAATAATTGCAAGTTTAATTTTAGCTCATGAAGAGAAGCTAATTGTCTGATTCAACCAGCTGGCATAGACATTGCAGAGATCAGAACTCCAATTAATTAAATATTTAACCAAGTATTGCCATACTATATACTTTCTCTAAATTTTCTTCAATTTTTCTTTATGATACCAGATACCTGTACAAAGGTGTCATATCATGTTATATACTATAGTTTTTAGTGTAAATTTCATATCTGACACCTTGTCCAATTGTGTCCTTGCCATATCTGGAAAAACATTGATTTGTTGCCCTTCTAAAGGATCTTTTAACACATTAATAGCTAAAATATGCAAACATACCAAACAGGGACAGCATTCCCAACTGAAATCTCTTGAAATCCAAGTCCAAGTATGCCATCAAACTTGGCTACCAAAAATGTGATACTGGGCTCTCTTGTTGCCTCAATGAATTCCTGTAAAGGATCACAAATATTAGTGCAGGCAAACTCTAAATGAATTACAGGCTTGAACAAGATGAAATATACTTACCTGGTTTTTAACAATGAGGTCACCAACTTTCACAGTGTCTTCACTAAAGAAACCGGCAATAGCTCCAGTCCCATAGTGAATCTCAGCAGATTTCCCTACATGATAAATTGGACTATAAAATATTAAAAACATTTTTCTTCAAGAACAATGTTGTGATAATGAACTATAATATGAGATGACGGCATGCATAAGAACTTCATGGCACAATCAATCTTGTTTCCTGTTATGGAAGGCTTTTACATATGACAATAGTTGTCCAAATATGACATACAGCAGCACAATGGGTACATAGAGAAATAGATAGGTTGAAAGAGTTTTGCCAAGGGAACCATTCATCTGGCCAATCAAGAATTATCCCTATCAAATGCATATTCCTGAATATTCACCATATAAAACTTACATGTACAAGCAATCCTTCCTTAACAGGACACAGAATCTGAACCCCTTGTTTTCCAGGCATGTAAAGTCATGATATCAAGCATTCTAACTTAATAGCAAGATACCAGTCAGAGTATTACCTGAAGAGTTGTAAAATTCTTCCCTTATGTTGGTTCATATCATCATCTAAATTAATGCTGAACACCAGGGTACTAATAATCATATATATCTAGACTACCTATAAAAGAGAGAATTCCCCTTTTTTCTGGAATTTTCATCGGACGTTTTCTACCCCTCTTGTCTAAGCACACAGCGAACATAAAGAGTGCATATACGTCCTTTATTCTCACTTTAGAAACTGCCCATGAATTATAAATAGTTTTGTCTTAGAGATACTGCCACATTCAAATGCACGTACACGTTTACTAGTATATATATATATAATTACTCGATTCCATACTTTTTCTTTTCTCCCCTTTTCTATTGGTGAGTACAAATGAGGTTAACTTCAACTTTATATCATAAAGGGCATCTCTGACCTAAGTTCCAATATTCATGTTAAGATATAACATACATGGTAACAGACCTTTGTGTACACAGACATACAATAGGAACAAATAATGCATACTGAGCTCTTATCCAATACTAAGATCACTATACCTAGAATGTTTTCAATCTACTGAGTTATGACTTTCTTCTTTTCTTTAATTTTTTAGCTGAGTATAAAAAATATACGTTTCTAACAAAAATTGCCAAAATTCAGACTCAAGGAATTGGAAGTCTATATAAAACACTGAACTGAACAAAAATATCATTGTGGTTAATGCAATAAGGAAGAAAAACAAACCATTTTTCTTGTAGGTGGTTGATTGGCTAGACTTGTACTTGGAATGGAAATAACAAGCGACCTGTGCCAAAATACAAGAATATATTTCTCATGTACCCAATGAGATAAGATGCAAACTTCCAAAGGAGAAAATTCCATGTAGTAAGCATGCATGTTTACAGCAACCTACCGAGAAGTAACACTTGGCAGAGGGTACCCACAGATTAGAACTGCCAGTGTCAAATATCACAGTGAACTTCTGAGGAGGGGTACCAACACCAATCTCTCCGAAATACTGAGCATCCATGTAGTTTTTCAGCGACACCATATCAGTGTCACCAGAATCTCCAAGGTTTCCACGGAGACGATACTTCCGAATGGAAGCTTTCAGAGGCTCCCCTCCCTCGGACTCAAGTCGAGCAGCAAGCAGGTTATTCTGATCGAATTTCCGTTTCTTCAGTCCGATTCTAAGCAGCCCATCATTAGAAGCAGAGAAGACCAGAGGAAACAAAAGGAACGAAAGGAAAAGAGCGACCACGGTAGTTTTGTATCTGGTTCCCATATTAACCTGCAAATAAATGAAAATTATTTCTTAAAGGTCAGCAAAACACACTCGGACCGTTACCCATAAACCAAAATATCAGTAAATAAAAATAAAACCCTAATAGGGAAAAGAGGGAAGACGTTAAAATGGAAGCTTAGCAGCAGTATGATCAGAGGCCATCAAATAATAGAGTATGCAGGACAAGAAAACCTTAATCCGTGGATACAAGCTCAGACACAAATTATCATACCCCAGGAAGGTCGTTGGACGCATAATACTAAACGGAGAAGCATGAAAGGTTTCCAAAAGAAATTGCGTAATGAAAAACATAAAAGACAGATGCAAAATTGTCGATGAAATATAGGGAAACAAGAAGAAACCATATTGCGATCGAACACTACCTGATCAAAAGAAAAAATAAAATTTTCAGAAACTAAACAAATATAAACACCATGGAGCTTAATAGGAAGGATCGACGAATAGCAAAATGCCAAAGTCCTAATTAGAAACCAAGGCCGTAACGTATTACTGTAAAACATGCACGAACAAGCAGAACAAAGGTGGAGAAACCCTAGAAATTAAAAGGAAACCAGTAACTACCACTCAATAAGCATAGATTTCATCTTCGCAAGCAAAAGAAAAAGAAAAGAGGAAATTGAGGATAATTCAAGCAAATTAAAGAAAAATTAGCACCAAAGAAATTATATAAAAAAAAGAAGAGTAAAGTTTTAGATGGAAGAAAGCAAGTTAGCACCAAAGAAATTACAGAAAAAAAAAAGTAAAAAAACCCACGGAACCGAATCGAAAAACTAAAAATACAAAAAAGAGTTCCAGTCAGTTACAGTGGAAGAGGAAGGGAAAGAAGGAAAGAAAGCTTATTACCGATCTGATGCGTTGAAGATGAAGAAGTCTTGCAGGGAAAACGAAGAGAGGGAAGGAGGAGAGGATGGAAGAAAGGAAGAAAGACAAAGGGATAAAAGAGGGAGAAACTGAAAACAACTTTTCCAAAAGCACCTAGCTCAGCTACCACCTACCAGTCCTCTAGTAAGAGAAGAGGAGGACTTGGAGGAGACTTTCCAATCTCAACCGTCAGATTAACTGACAAAGAACAAGATGTTGTTAAGAGCTTCAATATTGTACCTAACGGTATATAACTAATAAAATGCTCCGCCTTGGGTTATAATGCCGTAATCAGAGCATCGATGGACGAAGCAACATAATCTTGTAGCTCCTTATACGAAACCCAATTTTATTTTGTTTTAATTCGATGCTGGAGCTGGGCTGATCGATGCTTAAGCCTTAAGGCGTTCCCCGCGACTATCGTTATTTATCGTTGGTTGGGTTTGAAACTGACGATGGATTACGTGTCGGTTAAGCATGTATCTGGCTTTTTGGGTAACTTCACACGCCACACCACATTATGCTTTGCCTCTCTTCCTTTCTCTCTCTTTACCTTTTTGGCGAATGGCGATTGGTGGTGGGTTCCACCCACCATGATATCAAGCAGTCTCACAAAAATGGTAATCAATCAGGTGGACCAAGCAGCTCCTCAGACGTACCGAAAAAACGAACGAGGTGGGATCTGCCACCAATAAGACGCTGTCAAAACTGTCCCAACCTACCACTGCGGCCACACATTGGAATATCTCCTTTTGACATTGATGATAAATGTTATCCATGTATCATGTATGGTTGCAATGATCTTTCGATAGGAATAGGGGATCTTCTCCTCACAGAGCGTTAATCACATCATCCACCGTATATTACTAACGTGTAGTATGGAAGATGTTCCGATATATGGCTGGTACATGCTGTGAGGTCGGCATGAGAAGCAGATCCGGACTCATACGCACATCCTACCATCTACGGATTCCCGATGCACAATGAATGTGCCTGTGAGGCGTCCATTTGTAAGGAGCAGATTTCGCTTCTCACCGAGCCTAAAAACGGGAATACAAAATTGGCCCTCGGTCCTCACACCATCATTACAATATTTGCACATGTGTAAAGAGAATATCTCTACTTCACATACTTTCATTTGTGGGAAGATGTTCTGAATGCATGTTTGAAAATATTGTGAGAACGGTGTGGGGTCAAATTTGTAAGGATGCCAAAACCTGGATTCCGAAAACGAGGCGATGGTGTTTATAGAGATCGAAGTTTTCTACATTGGAGCTAGGTATCATGAGAGTTTGGTCAAGGGAAATGTGTTAGTGGTGATCAAAACTTTGTTGGAGGAACCTCTTAGGTGGTGTTTGATAACACTTTTTAGAGTTCTGGTGTTTGAAAAACTTGCTTTTCAGACACCAGATTTGTTTGGTGTTGCGTCTGAAAATCAATCTGAAATCTGTTTTTAGATTTGAAATTTTAACTTCGTAATTTGACACTTAACGCGCTCAGACGCGTTTCAAAGCCAACACAAAGTCAAAAATGCCCTTCAAAAAATTTTGAAATGGCACGAATTACCCCTGTTTAACCCCAAACCTAAGAAACCTAATTCATTTGTATTCTCTCTCGAACGAACGAGAAGGAAGATCGCCGCCTACATCTGATTTCTCTCCAGGTTTCTCTCTCGAACAAACTTGTGCGTCTGAAGATTGCTCTAGATTTCATGGCCGCAAACCTTCGCATCGAACAAACTACATCTGACATTGCATCTTCTTGCTGTATTCTTCAACTTTTAGGGGTAGCACTGCACAACCTGTGGAGACGACCTGCGAAGCGGTTTGGATGCAGTGGAGGAAAGGAGAAACAAACACTATGAATCGAGAAATCAAGCTTGTCACGGAGCTTCCTCCCGGTGTAGAAGGCTTGAAATTTTTCGGCTTTCGTGAGCCGTGGTGACCCACAAGGGCTTCGAGTTGTTAATCCGGTCACCATGCCACCTCACGATCACTGTCCCAAGGGCACACCCTCGAAACCACTAATAGGCATGGTCTATGCTTTATGACGATTGATGCATTAAAGATGTGGAACGTTTCAGGCGAGGGCGAGACGACGAGTTAGGGAACGATATAATTTTCTAAATAAATTATATTTTAAATTGAATAATTTATTTTAATCAATTATTTGAATTGAATAAATTATTTTTTATTTTTATGAGTTTTTTGTATTAATTATAAATTATTTTAATTTTTATTATTGTTGATTAATTTAATATTTTTATTAGATATTAGTTACATATTTATTATTTAATTATTTGTTTTTATTATTAATTATTAGTTACTTATTTTATTAATTATTTTCATCTTTATTTCGTTTTAATTATTTTAATATCATGTATTTGTTATTAATTGTTAATTATTAATGATTGACAATATTGATTAGTAATTATTAGTGCTATTTATTTTAATATTTTTATTAGTTGTGAACTATTTTGTTTAATTTTAATTTTTAATTATTAATTATTAATTTCATTAATTTTTTACTAATTATTTTAATCCTTATTGGTGTTAATTATTTCAATTTTTATTAGTTATTAATTATTTTTATTAATTTTTGTTTGTGTTTTTTATTAAGTATTAATAATTTTTCTTAACTATTAGTTATTTTTAGTAATTATTAATTATTAGTTATTTATTTGTTATTTATTAAATTTTTATTTATTATTAATTATTAAATATTATTTTGAATTTAATAAATTATTTTATATGAAATAGTACAAATTGAGCTCAAAATTACCAAATAGTCTATTCTAGGGGTAAAATAGTAAAATTAGAGAATTTCATATGTTAAAGGTTTGGTCCAATACAAATAGGCTTGAGTATTCAAAGCCTCTAAAAAGTAGAAAAGCATCTATGCCTCTTTTCAGATTTCAAACACTTTTAATATCTTTTTAACTTTTCAAACTTCAAATTTCAGATTTATCAAACACCACCTTAATATATGTTTGGTATCGATGTTGTAGGTATGCTGCTGATGATGTGGGTTGGAAGCACCATTTTCTGAGAAAATAATGTCTTTTTTTTGTTTGGAAACAATGAAATGTTGCTGCTAGGTAGGACATTTCCTAGAGCAACAACAACACTTTCTGTTTGGTACCAATGCTCCATGTTTGTTTTCAGCACTGGTACCCATTATAGGAAGTCCACGTCACTGTCACATCACATCCTCGTTGGCAGCAATGAGCTACAATATGAGAAAACACCAAATTCGATGTTGTTCCAAACCACACCTTCTTGATTTCCAAGGCGTGGCTTGGAGCACCGTTCTTTATGGAAAATGGTTTCAAACAAGCAGGTGTTTCCTAGAGCACCGTATTTTCCGACGTGGTGTTGATATGCCACCTTTTTCTAAAGCAACAACATCGATGCCAAACAAATGCTTAATCTTTCATGGCATATAAGACTGAGTTCACATCTCCGCCCCATAGCACATCCCCACCGTGTATTGGGAACATCTCCTGATGATAGTACTAGAACCGATGATGTCATCATCGAGAGATGTTCCCAATACACGGCATGGATGTGCTATGGGGCATTGTAGGGCTGCCCCTTGTGTTGCGGAGATGTGATCTCTATAAGACTTACTTGATTGCAGAGCTTACTAGTTTCATTTCTCCCATTGTTTAGTGGCTTAGGTTGCATTTGGCATTCCTTATTTTAAAGACTTATCTCCTTCTTACTGTTAAAATGCCTCTATAAACACTGAGTTTTTAATTGCAAAAAAGAGATAAGTCCTTAAGATGAAGAATGCCAAATGTAGCCTTATATACCAAAGATTGATAATATAACAGCCCATCTTATAACCAAGTAAACTCTATCTTATCTCTCGGATCCATACTTGTGGCAAGGACCGCTGATAGTTATTGAGAAACATGTACCCTGAACAATTTTCTTGTTACAATTCATCAGGATTTTGATGAAGATGGATATGCCAATCACAAAACGTTGGACACGTTTGTATATGCATAACACCATAGCCACATATTGGCAATAGGGTTTGACTATGATATGGAAAAGTTATGATATTGTTTGACCAATTAAATGGATTCATAAACGTAGTAGCCAATCAGGTGTTATTTATCAAAATGGGTTCGACTATGATATGGAAAAGCTATGATATCATTTGACCAATTAACTAGAACCATAAACGTGATAGCCAATCAGGTGTTATTTATCAAAATTCATCGGTTGCTTTTGATTGGTCAAAACTCTTTCGGTGCCATGTATTTCCTGCATTATAGATTTTTCCATTGGCAATGGGTTTGACTATGATATAGAAAAGTTATGGTATTGTTTGACCAATTAACTGAAATCATAAACATGATAACCAATCAGGTGTTATTTATAAAAAAATGAAATAGTATATATATGTTCTCAATGTGCGGTTGTAAATTATGTAACCAAACCAAATTTCCTGCCAACTACTCTCTACTCGCCACACATAGCAATTTTGTAGTTAGCACCAGGATGGGGTTTGAATGATCAAATTAAAAAGGTTATTCCATTATGTCTTTCTAGCAACTAGCGCCATAGATTTTTCTTATATATATATAAAGTTAGAGGCCATCTCCACAGTCAGATATTTTAGATGGTTTATGAACTGTCAAAAACCAATGCCTGATTCCAACCGTCAATATATCCATAATTTTGTTTCTTAAATTATCGATTTGATCCAAACTACAAGCCTACAACTTAAATGATCTCATATAAACCACATCCTGCCCGTGGATTTAGCATCAAACCATGGTCAAATTCAGTCCACCCCTAAAAATCTTAACTTCACCCTAGGGGTGGATTAAACTATAAAAACCCCTATATTCTTTGAGAAGCTTTAGACACACATGAGACGAGGATGTCTCATCTACGATTTGACATTCAGCCTAAACCCGGACATTTGGTCCATAAGCCTGTAGCCTTGGCTAAACTTGAGGCAAAGCCCAAGCCCTACTGAAGATAAATTCCAATCCACTAGGTCAGGGCTCGTCGTGCTTGGGCTAGTAGATCAGGGTTGAGATGTTGCTTAAGTTTTTTGCCTTTGAACTTTTAACTAGTGAATGACCCCGTACTAAGTACGGGGAAGTTAATTATATATATATAAACATTAATGATTTTTATTACCATTTTTTATTACTATTTATAAATTGCCAGTTTTTAAGACATTCATACAGTCTACGGGTCCACATAAATTGACCCTTATATGTCAAACCCGTAAAAGTATATAGGTCATTAAATTCAAATTGAACCGTTTATTACATTAATTTAACCATTATTATTATTATTAATTTATTTTAGTATTTATTTAAAATTTTTGTTATATAGTAATAA